GGCCTGGTGCTGTCTCTGCAGGTGGGGAGCCTGGGGTGGAGCCTGGGGGGCGGCCTGGTGCTGTCTCTGCATGTGGGGAGCCTGGGGGGCAGCCTGGTGCTGTCTTTGCAGGCAGCTGAGATCGCCAACGAGACGGGGAACTGGGCAGCATCCTACCACCTGGCGCGGCAGTACGAGAGCCAGGAGGAGGTGCGGCAGGCCGTGCACTTCTACACGCGGGCGCAGGCCTTCAACAACGCCATCCGCCTCTGCAAGGTGGGCAGAAGGTTCCGGAACACTCCCTCATGGCTGGGTGGGCAGGCGGGACTTCCTCAAGGGACTTCCGGGTACACAAGAGGGGGTGGAGCTGTGGCTACACACTCATCTCCCCTCACTCGGCTGCCTGATCCCTGTCCCTCTTCCCACCCCCGCCCCTCCTCCGTGTTGGCCACGTCTCCTAGTGCCCGGGGCTCCTGTCCCTGCTGGCTCTGAATAGGCCTGGGCCCTCGAGTGAGCACATGGACACTGTCTATGTGAGCGTCTGGGGCCACTGTAACAGCACCACAAAGTGGGGGCTTAAAATGCCAGAAACATGTTTTCTCACAGCTCTCAAAGCATAAGTCCAAGTTCAGGGTGTGGGCAGGGCCACGCTCCTCTGAAGGCTGTAGTAGAGGGTCCTTCCTTGTCTCTCCCAGCTTCTAGAAGCCCAAGTGTTCTTGGCTTGTGGCCGCATCACTCCCCTCCCTACCTCCATCTTCTCTGGGTCTCTGTCTCTGTGTCTTGTCTTAAACAGACACCACTCAGCATAGGGTCAGACCCCCCACCCACCTCCCCGCTCCAGCGTGACCACCTGCTCAGCTAACTGGTAACGTCTGCAGAGACAGGGTCACGCTCACAGGTGCAGGGTTAGGACCTTAGCACATCTTTTAGGGGACACAGTTCAGTCCTTAATAGCAGCCATGAAAACGCTCCAACCCCGGTCTCACCTCTGGCAACACCCCAAGTGTGGAGCGGCAGGCATTTCTTGCCATGCTTCCTACGATAGAACAATCGAGGTGCTCCTCATATTTCTGATCCACAGCCCTCCCAAGTGAGGGGAGATGAGTGTGCGGCTACAGCTGCCCCCGCTCTGGGCCACTGCGCCCCTCCCGGGCATTGTGGTTACGAGCTGGTACATGCTCCCCGCTCAGGAGAATGGCCTGGACGACCAGCTCATGAACCTGGCCCTGCTGAGCTCCCCAGAGGACATGATCGAGGCGGCGCGCTACTACGAGGAGAAGGGAGAGCAGATGGACCGGGCGGTCATGCTGTACCACAAGGTGGGCGCTGGCCCCCGGGAGGGCAGGCGGGGCCAGGGGCCAGAGGCCGGCGGTGCTCAGACCCGGCTATGCCCACAGGCCGGACACTTCTCTAAGGCCCTGGAGCTGGCCTTCACCACCCAGCAGTTCACGGCCCTGCAGCTCATCGCCGAAGACCTGAACGAGAAGTCAGATCCAGCGCTGCTGGCCCGCTGCTCGGACTTCTTCACCGAGCACAGCCAGTACGAGAAGGCTGTGGAGCTGCTGCTGGCCGCCAAGAAGGTGCCGAGTGAACACCCCTCACTGAGAGGACGCTTTTACACACTCAAGGAAAGCCATGGCTGGCTCCCCTTCCCTCCCACAACCAACGTGCTGTTTTGTGTGCCCTGCCCAAGGCTGGGTCCTCGTCCACACGGTGGCCCATACCACCCTTCCTCGGTGGTCTCGGCTTCCCTGGTGGGGGAAGGTATAGAGGGCGGGGTCCGCGGCCCCCTGTAGCCCAGTCACAGCCCCCGGTGGTCCCGGCCCCCACAGTACTGCGAAACCCTGCAGCTCTGCCTCGTAGGGTAGCGGTGGGGTCCGTGGCCCCCTGTAGCCCAGTCACAGCCCCCGGTGGTCCCGGCCCCCACAGTACCGCGAAGCCCTGCAGCTCTGCCTAGAGCAGAACATGGCCCTCACGGAGGAGATGGCCGAGAGGCTGACCGTCCCCAAAGACTCCACGGACCTGTCGGAGGGGGCGCGGCGGGAGCTGCTGGAGCAGATCGCCAACTGCTGCATGCGCCAGGGCAGCTACCACCTGGCCACCAAGAAGTATACGCAGGCCGGCAACAAGCTGAAGGTGGGCGCTGCCGGGGGGCTGGGAGGGCCGGCAACGAGCTGAAGGTGGGCGCTGCCGGGGGGCTGGGAGGGCCGGCAACGAGCTGAAGGTGGGCGCTGCCGGAGGGTGGGGCCTCGTGCCCACGGTCGTCTGGACGCACCTCACCCGCCAGCTTTGACCTCTGGCTCCTGTCTCATCCCGCAGCGGGAGCCCCTTGGCCCTGCGGGGCCGGCGCCTCTCAGCAGAGCCCCGACCCCCCACACCCAGTGACCCCTCGGTGCTCCCCGTCTAGGCCATGAGGGCGCTGCTCAAGTCCGGGGACACGGAGAAGATCGTGTTCTTCGCGGCCGTGTCGCGGCAGAAGGAGATCTATGTCCTGGCAGCCAACTATCTGCAGTCGCTGGACTGGCGGAAGGAGCCGGAGGTCATGAAGAACATCATCAGCTTCTACACCAAGGGTCGGGCCCTGGACCTCCTGGCCGGCTTCTATGACGCCTGTGCCCAGGTGCCGCCCTCCCCGAGGGGCCTGTGGGGCTCTGGGGGTGGGGCTGTGGAGCCCTGCGGGGTCCGGGCGGGGCCTCTGGGGGGTGTGGCGCCCGTGGGTTCTGAGGGCCCTGTCTGTGCAGGTGGAAATCGACGAGTACCAGAACTACGACAAGGCCCACGGGGCACTGACCGAGGCCTACAAGTGCCTGTCCAAGGCGAAGGCCAAGAGCCCCCTGGACCAGGAGGCCAAGCTGGCTCAGCTGCAGAGCAAGATGACGCTGGTGAAGAGGTTCATCCAGGCCCGGAGGTGCGTGGTGCAGGTGCCCCTGGAGCCCGGAGGGGCGCTGCATCGCGTGAGCGCTGTCATTTAGGGGGTCCCTGGAGACTCTGGTGGAGACCCTCTGGGGGACTGACTGCCTCAGAGCCATGCCATGCGCTCGTTCGGGGAGGTTGTTCTGGAAACAGCCCAAACCCACTGAGAGAGAAATTGGGGCAGGGGACAGGGAGGCAGCTCGGGGTCAGGAAAGGCCAATCTGTAAGAGAAGGTTCACATCTGCTCAGGTACGTGCAGGGATCCGGGGTGGCAGCCGTGGCACGAGCTCTTCCCCTCCCCCTCCTTCCAGGCTCGATTTTCCTCCCCCAGACCATGTCCCACCCCCAGCTCCCAGCTTCACTCACCAGCTAGCCCTCGGTTCCCATCCCCTTCCTAAGTCCCGTCAGTCACCACGTCGGTCACCACACCCGGTCCTGCACTTCCCTGGAGCACGCTGCCTGTCCCCACCCCTTTTCCAAGCCTCACCACCCCCTCCTCAAGTCCCCAGGGTCTCCAGCCCCCAGGCTCCAGGCTCCGAGCCCTGCTGGCTGTGCCCCAGGTCCTGGTGCCCCTCCCCGTGCCCATGAGCATGTCCCTCGGCTGCAACCTTCCTCCTGACACCCGATGTGCCCTCCACGGTGCCCTGGGCGGGGCTGTGCTCACCTTCATCCCCACGTGCCCCTGTGGGACCCCCTCGTCCCCCAACACTGTGCCCTGGGTGGGGCTGTGCTCACAGACCTTTGTCCTGAGTCCAGCACTGAGTGATCAGCAGTGACTGGCTGAATGAAAGCATATAATTCATGAGAATTTCTTTCATAAAACGTTCATCCCACCAGCTTCCAGAAACCCCTCCTCTGGAGTCGGGAAACCCTCAGATGGGGCAGCACCCAGGCTGCTGGGTGAAGTCTCAGAGCATGTCTCTGCCCACAGGATGTACCCGGAGGACCCCAAGGAGGCCGTGCGGCAATGTGAGCTGCTCCTGGAGGAGCCAGACCTGGACAGCACCATCCGCATCGGAGACATCTACGGCTTCCTGGTGGAGCACTTCCTGCAGCTGGGGGAGCACCAGGCGGTGAGGGCCAGGGCGGGCCAGGCAGACCATGGCTGGTAGAACCTCTCACCCCTGGGTGGTGAGGGCCCCCGGTCAGGCTGTGGGCGGGCTGTGGGCCGGTAGAACCTGTCACCCCTGGGTGGTGAGGGCCCCCAGGCCAGGGTGGCCCAGGCAGACCTCTCACCTCTGGGCGGTGAGGGCCAAGGCGGGCCAGGCAGACTGCGGCCAGTGGAACCTGTCACCCCTGGGTGGTGAGGGCCCCCGGTCAGGCTGCGGGCAGGCTGTGGGCTGGTAGAATCTGTCACCCCTGGGTGGTGAGGGTCCCCAGGCCAGGCTGTGGGCTGATAGAACCGCTCACCCCTGGATGGTGAGGGCCCCCAGGCCAGGCTGTGGGCCAGTAGAACTGCTCACCCCTGGGAGTCCACCCACAACAGCTGGGACCCTCAGCTGCAGGCATTGGGGGCACATGGAAGAGCCCCACCTGGGCTTTGGAGTTTTTACCTTTCTTCCTTTGAAATAATTTCAACTGAGAAGTTGCAAGAATAATAGAACTTAGGTTCACCAGTTTTTACTACATTGCCACGTTTCATCTTTCTCTATATTTACTTGTCTTTTATATACAAGAGGACCTCTGGTGGCACAGTGGTTAAAGCGCTCAGCTGCAAATTGTAGGTCGGTGGCTCAAACCCACCAGCAGCTCCGTGGGAGAAAGATGTGGCTTCCGTAAAGATCACAGCCTTGGAAAGCCTCTGGGCAGTTCTACTCCGTCCTATAGAGTTGCTATGAGTCGGAATCCACTTGCCAGCAGTGCGTTTGGTTTTTGGTTCTATACAAAATTCCCTTCTGAAATTTTGAGAGGCACAGTGTCTTGCCACTCAGCTGCCAACGCGTCAGTGAGCACCTCTCAGAGCAGGCACACTCAGCTGCCGGCAGGCCTCGCGGGCAGGAGGCCGGAAGCTGAGGGACACTCCTCTCTGGCCCACGTTCCGTGTTTTGTCCCGATGACGTGCCGCACAGCACCGTGTGTCCCCTCCGTGCTTGCGTCTCTTCAGTGTCCTTTAGTCTGAACCGTCCTTTGTCATCCACAACGTTGATATGTTAGAGAATCCAGACCTGTTGCCATCGAGTCAATTCTCACAGCGACCCTGTAGGACAGAGTAGAACTGCCCCCTAGGGCTTCCAAGGAGCAGCTGGTGGATTCGAACCGCCCACCTTTTGGTTAGCAGCTGAGCTCTTAACCACTGCGACAAGTCGATTATTTTCCAGAACATTCCTTGGTTAGGTTTGTCTGCTGTGTCCTCACAAGCAGGTTAAGGTGTATGTCCCAGGCGGGTGACTGCGAAGGTGGTGCCGTGTCCTCCCCAGGGCTCACCTGGGGCCCCAACAGCTGTCCCCACGAAGCACATGGCTGCTCCCCCAGTCAAGATGGTGGCTGGTTTCTCTGCTGCATGACACCTAACAACATGCAAGCGTCCATCGCTTCTCCTGAGGCACCCTCCCCAGACTGATTCTCACCCAAGCCAGTCTCCACAGGACGGCTACAAAACGGCCATTGCCACCTCAGCCCCACTCGGCATGGTTCCCAGGGAGCCTTCAACCCAAGGAAGCTTCTCCCTCTGCTCGCTCCATGTGTCTGTCTGTTCATTACCAACATGATTCATAACTTCCAGTTTTAGTCAAAGGTCGTAACTCCTTACTGTCCTCATTTTTTCCAAATTTTAAAAACTAGATTATAGAAATTTTCCAACACGTGAAAGTAGAGAGAACAGTTTAATGAGCCCCCGTGTACCAGTTACCCAGTTTCAACATTTTTCCAGGTTTGTTTCATCTGCTCCCTCCTGCCAAGCTCCCTTTGAACAGCTTTATTACATTATAATTTGTATACAGTGAAGTGCGCCCATTCAGAGGGTACAGTCGGAGGGTTTTGGTAGCACATGCCTACCCCCCCACCCCATCCAGCTTTAGACACTCCATCACCCAGAAAGGTCTCTGGTGCCCCTTCCCAATCCGATCCCCACTGCACCCACGGCCCCAGGCAGGCACTGTGTGTAGTCTTTGCCTTTTCTAGAATCTCGTACAAATGGAATCATACAGTGCGTCATCTTTGCATCTGCCTTCTTTCATTTAGTACATGGTCGCTGAGATACATCCGTGCTGCTGCCCGTGTCAGCAGTTCTTCCGTTTTGTTGCTGAGTCATGTTCTCTTATGGAGATGGACCACATCTAGTTTAGGCATTCCCCAGTCGGACCTTTGGGTTGTTTCCACTTGTTTGGTTTTTATAAATAATGTGACTGACAAATCTTTGCGAGGACAAAGGTTTTCGCATCACTTGGGCAGATACCTACGAGTTGTATTGCTCGGTCATATTAGCGTGTTTAGCTTTGGAAACTACCAAACTTTGAAAAGTGGCTGCATCATCTTGCATTCCCACCAGCAATATATGAAGGTTCTAGTTGCTCCACATCTTTGCCAACACTTGGTATTGTCAGTTGTTTTAACTTTAGCTGTTGTAGTGGACATGTAGCGGCATCTCATCGTGGTTTTAATTTGCACTTCCCTAATAGTGATGTTGAGCATCTTTGCATGTGTTTTGTTGGCCATTTGTATGTCTTCTTTTGTGTATTTTCAGACCTTTGGCCCGTGTCCCATTATTTGTCTACTTTTTAAGAGTCCTGTACATATTCTGGATAAAAAGCCTTTTGTTCTTATGTCTGGTAATTCTCTTGTATCCTGGACATCGTGACTAACCCACTGTAGAGACTGTGGATTCTGTTATGCTTCTCCAAAGAATCTTGCCCTTTTTTTTTTTTTTTAATAATTAGGCAATCACTGTTATGCAACTCAAGAGTACAAACTCTTGCCCCAGGGGTGGTTAGTAGCTGAAATCCTTGTTCAGTATCTTTAGCCTTTGTCAGGCCTCTTGAAATCTCCCCTCCCACCACCGCATGCATAGTGCATAGTCAGCCAGAGATTTGGGTAGAATTTATGCTCAGAATTCAAGCTTCAGCTCTATGACTCTCTTTTCCAATGTTTTTCCCTCACATTCCAGCTGTTGTGGATGACCCAAATGATGGTTCTTTAAGCCGGTAAGAGTTTGGGCCTGTGTGTCTTTCGCTGCCCACAGTGGCCTGACTGGGGCCTGCCCAGAGGCAGTGTCATAACAAGCTGGAAATGTTCCAAATTCCCTTCTTCCAAACGTTGACTCCCTTCCAGCTTCCCCTGCTTGTAGCTGTTTTCCAGGCCTGTTTATGAGTTACTCCACCGTTACCACAAGGCTCCCCTCGTTCTGTCAATCACAAGTCTGTGACAGTCAAAGAAAGCATTCCACCCGCTGCAGGTTCCCTTCATGTCCCAAAGGATACCACCCAGGGGCCTTGCTAAAACCCAGGCGTTCCACCACAGCATCTCCTTCTACCACCGGTCATGTTTCCCCAGTAGATGAGGTTCTGGTGAAACTGCAGTGACCCCAAGGAATCTCCCTGCCTCCTTCCCGAAGTGCTCACACACCAAGCATTGACAGATTAATTTTAGAAATGTTGCTTATGAACAACATCAGCCTCGATAGGCTGCAGTTTCCACAGTTCACCAGAAAGTTATTCATAAGTGGCTTTTCCTCCCCAGGCCCAAGAGGTCAGCACCAGGAGACTCAGATTTCCGGATCTGATCACTCACTTCCCCTTGGGCCCTGCCATTTCCATCCACCAACCCCATTTGTTGCTGGGAGAAAACAGCTCGAAATCTATTACCAAAGAGTTTCCTCTTTTTTTGTTTTCCTGGAGAATAAAAACAAACTCGGACTAGAGAGATGCTCAGACCACTGTTTCCCAAAGTTACCGGAAAAGTCACGTTTTAAGTGTTTCGCCATACTCTTTGCGTGAAACCTAGGGAATTTAGTTAACTCTTAACACCAAGGAGAAAAAAAGCATAAACCGATTGAGAAAGTGCAGACACGCAGTTTCCTCTTGCCGGGGGCAGGGCCGTGTCCTTGCTGCTCCGCCTCTCATCGCCCCCGCTCAGTTCTCATGGCCTTGCTGTCGGCACTCGGTCCTCACAGGCCCCCGATCTGGACACTGAACGTCTCCAGTGGCTGCTAACGGACACATCCAGTAATGTTTCTTCGTAGTCCTTCATCCTTGGAAGTGTCTGTCTTTGTGACCACACCTTCCTTCTGGAAGCTTCTCCCTTGGCCTTTGTGGAAGCAGCCCTGTGTGCTGAGGGCAGAGGTGCCAGGCCCTGGCTGCACTTGGTGATGTGGAAGGTCCCTCCTGACCCAGCTGCTCTTCCCACTTTGCTTCCTGTCCAGCTCCTTGACCCCCATACCCCACCCCACACACACACCACGAATTCAGTTTTCTGCCAGGACACGTCGCTGCCCCCCCGCTTCAGTCACTGGTTGTGTTGGCACAGTCTTCTCTGCTGCTCCGACCTGTCCTGGGCCCATCCACCTATGTACTTGTGCCCTGTGCTCCCAGCCTATAACATTCAAAGAACAGTTCCTTCTCTGGGGGTGCTTCACCTCCCCCTAGTTTGAAGACACCTCAGGGCTGCTCCCACCCAGCCCCCAACCAGGCAATGCAGGGTCTTGTGTGTCTGAGACCTTTTGTAAATACCCATAATGTCAATGATTTCTTTCCAAAAAGTAGTATACTTTATTTACATATATAAGACCAAAAAAAACCCCACTGCTGTTGAGTCGATTCTGACTCACAGTGAACTTATGACAGAGTAGAACTGCCCCATAGGGTTTCCAAGAAGCGGCTGGTAGATTCGAATTGCCAACCTTTTGATTAGCAGCTAAGCTCTTAACCACTGCGCCCCCAGGGCTCCAGTTTATATATATAGTAGATATAATCTTTCATGGTATTTATCGGTCCCTGGATGATGCAAAAGTTCAAGTGCTTCACTACGAGCCAGAAGGTTGGTGGTTGAAACCCACCCAGAGGCCCCTCAGAAGACAGGCCTGGAGATCTGCTTCTGAAAGGCCGCGGCCTCGGAAACCCGCTGGGGCAGTTCTCTGCACACGTGGGCTCACCCTGAGTTAGAGTCGACTTGACGGCAGCTGACAACATGGTCTTTATATATGTTCATTATCTTTATCTTGTATTTTTTATATATTCTAGCTCCATCACCCCAGAATAAAATTACTCCAAAAGTCTTGTCATCTTTAAGACACCCTAAGACTTGATCGCTATTCCTCGTAAAATGAAGCTGCTAACCGCTCCGGTCAATCCTGAGTTGACATCAGCGCACCTTGCGAGGAAGCTATAGAAGCTCCACTGCCCCCTTCTGTGTGGGGGCCCCCCAGCTGTCAGCGTGGCCCTCGGGGACCACAGCCCCACCCTTGCCCACAGGTTCCTTCTAGGCTGCTAAGAGGACATTAGGGGACACCAGCTCACGTTTCACAGCTTTCTTAGCCAAGCAGGGCCTGAGAGGTACTGCCCTCGGGTGGGAGCTCAGGACGCGTCAGACCAGAGCGTTGTCTCCTCCCACCAGGCCTACAAGTACCTGGAGGAGATGCGCAAGAGGCTGCCAGCGGCCAACATGACCTACTACGTGAGCCAACACACCATCGATGCCGTGCACCAGGGCCTGGGCCTTCCCCTGGCGCGCCTGGGGCCCGAGCGTGTCCGCCACAACAGCGCCGAGGAGCCCCGGGACGAGGAGGTGGTAGAGGAGGTGGGCAGTCCCTGACCACCCATGCCCCCGGCCGGCTTCCTTGCAGGAAAGCACCTCCTGGGATTTCTCCGTCATCAGCAGTGGCAAGAGCCCGCCCTCTGTACGTGAATACGTAAGCCGAGCTGGAGCACGACGTGGCCCCGGAGGGCCTGGTGGCTGGCCCTCCCTGCTCCCGTGTTTGGAAAGCAGAGTGTATTTCTGCGTCATTCACCAAGTGTTCCTGCCTTCAGCTTGCTCAGTGGGGGTGCCCGGCTCTGTGGATTGTCAGTTTAGTTCCTTTACTGAAGCGAGACAAAGGAGTTAGGTTCATTCCCCCACAATATTCTCCCAGCTACAAGTTGGACAGCGGAAGAAACTTCTAGACCTTCGTGAACTGAGGATGCAACTGGAGGGCGGGGCACGTTGCTGTGTTCACGCGTCACCCAAGTGCCCAGGCCTCGCCGGCTCCGTCCCCGTCAGCCCCTCAGCCGTCCACATCAGGGCGGCTCGGCCCCCCGCTGCCGAAACTTCTCTACAACTGCAATAAAGTTTATTTGCTTCAAGCTCTGTGCCCTGCCTCCCCTCCTCACTCTCGGGGCACCCCTTCAGGAGATGGCATGGGGACCCAGGGCCTGTCCAGCAGCCAGAACCCCAAAGCAAAAGGGCTGCTTGCCGCCCTCACCGCCTTTTCTTCCTTGTTTTCCTGTGAGGGCGGGGCCGAGCAACACAGCAGATAAGGAGCCAGGTAATGAACGGCAGCAGGAGGGAGTTTGGGGCTCTGGGCAGCGGCGCCCCCTTGTGGCCGTGGCTCTGTCTCACTGCAGCAGGCCAGGTGTCCTAGGGACTCAACCGGGCCCCTCCGTGGACCATGGCGCCCAGCCCTGCGCCCAGTCAGATACCAGTGGCACCCTGGCCTGTGCATCATCCGTGCACGAAGCCCTGCAGGGAGGGCGGCGCCCGCTGGACCTCCTGTCCCCGGAGGGCGCCCTGCGTCTTTACGGCCGACCACGTGGCCTGCTAGGCTATAACAGCAGGCAAGCGCCAGGGTGGGCCGCAGTCTGTACACAAGGCCCCAGGCAGCTGGGCGGCCACTGCACAGCAAGCCCAGGTGGGACTGCCCACTCTCTGGCACCTTGTGTGACCTCAGCTGCCAGCTCCTCCCGTAGCACTGGTCGGCGTCCAGGCGGGGTCCCTGCAGGCCAGGTGGGCCCCTGCGGGCCGGGTGGGCTCCTGTGGGCCGGGCATGTCCTGCAGGCCGGTGGGCCGCACAGCCAGGTGGGCGCCTTCAGGCTGGGCGGCCCGCGGTGGGTCTAGGGAGAAGGGTGTGGGAGAAGCCTGTCCCTGAGCTTCTCGGTGAGCAGCAGCACCCGCACAGCCAGCGCCCTGCAGTCCCCATCGGGGTCCTCCTCAGCCACATCTGCCAGATGACAGGAAGCAAGCAGGCATCACGCACTATAGGGAGGGACCGTTCCCAGGAGCCCGGGCTGAGAGGCGTATGGCATGCAACCCCAGTGCTCCTCACAGAGTGCTCCCTGGGGACAGACGCATCTCAGATGCCAGCAAAGAGCTGTGACTACATCCCTACCGGCGGCCATCAGTAAAGTTCCCACAGGGAGGCTGGGCAGTGGGGCCCAGTGAGGAAGCCTGGGGGTTCCTCCCCCAGTCCCAACCCCAGCTCAAACTGGCCCTCACACCCCAGCACTCCCCCGCCAGCTGGACTCGGGGCTGGGGGAGCAGGCAGAACCCCCGTATCCAAGGGCCACCCCCGATGCCCCCACACTGGTAGGAGGGGTGAGGAATCATGATGCTTCCAAGCTCCTTCTTGAGGAAAGTGTACACATTGGAGTGGGGAGCCTCACCTGCCAGCCAGGCCCGGGCCTCCAGCAGCTCCTCCGACAGCTCCCCCATCAGCCGCTCTGCGGGCACGCTCAGCAGGACGGCCGCGGTGGCAGACAGCAGGCCCTGGCGCACGTAGCTGTGAGCGCACAGGTGGGCGTGAGGCACCACTCCCCGGCGGCCCCGCAGCCCCCGCCCCGGGTCCAGCCAACCCGCCTGTGGCACAAGCGCCCCAGCCCAGCCAGCCGAGCATCCTCCCAGCCACCTCGGAAGTCCGCGTAGCCCCAAAGGCAACTCACGCATCAGTGTGGAAGCGAAGAACCCACACAAACTCGAGCAGGGCCTTCCCCATCGGCACGGCCACCTGGAGACACGGGGTGGGCCAGTGCTGAGGTGGAGAGGCACCCCAGGCCCAGCACGGACTCCACTCTTAGGGCTCAGACCCTGGGGGACAGAGCGAGCAGGCACCAGGCCTGCCACACGACTCACCGTGGTGTTCACAGCCAGGTACATCAGGGCCCCCAGGGTGTGGGTCAGCCTGCCCAGGACCAGGCGGTCATCTCCCAGAAGGTCGAAGGTCACCAGAGGCCTACAACGTAGAAGCCAGCAGTGGGCACACACTCCTGCCAGCCATCACCCTGCCCCAAACGGACACCACTGGCACCACAAGAGCCACAAGGAGAAGGGGGTTCACGGGATCCCTGCAGAGAGAAGCTGCTGGCGCCAAGGTCAGGCAGGGTGAGCAGGACCATGGCCGGGGCTGTGGTCGGAGCGGGCCCTTCTTCACCGCTGCCCCCTTGCAGACCAGGCAGCAGAAGCACCAATCCCTCATCCTGTTAAGGGGCACGCATCATGCGACACCCCGACCCGAGGCTCTGGGCCAGGCCCAGCTGTGACCTGGATGTCTGGGAGCAGCCAGTGACGCAGAAAGCTTGAGGATGCAAGGGACCCCTCCAGAAAATTCCTTCCAAACCACCAGCGCAGAGGCTGCAGCCCCGCCCCTGGCCCACTGGGAAGGCAGTGGCTGGCCGCGTGTGGACAGGGGGCCTCCAGAACCCCTTTTCTGCAAACCACAGCCACCGCACACCTCTCACCTGTCAAAGTGCCGGATGAGGGGGAAGAAGAACCAACCGACCACAGAGCTGAGCTCGTTGGGACCACACGCCGGGTCTGGCCTGGAGGGACCCTGCCGTGACCGGGGGCTCCTGTGAGGACAAGCAGCCTCACGGCCACAGCACCGCACGCACGGCTGGTGACTCGGGGGTCGGGGCGAGCAGCCACCGCATGCACGGCTGGTGACTCGGGGGTCGGGGTGAGCAGCCACCGCACGCACGGCTGCTGACCCGGGGGTCGGGGCGAGCGGCCGCCGCACGCACAGCTGCTGACCCGGGGGCTGGGGTGTGCACGCTGTAGGACGTTAGCTGTGTTCTGGCTTTCATCTACTGTGACAACCACAAATGTCCCCAGACACTGCCAGACGTCCCCTGTGGGCCGCATCACTCCAGTTGGGAGCCGCTGGCCTAAACACACCACGACAGACCCCTCCAACCCCTCGTTCAGAGGTAGGGTCCCTGGACCTTCCGTTCCTTCCACAGGGCGACCCTCTGGGGCATTCTGTTGTGCAGCCCGGCTCACACCACAGATGTCTCCTGCAGGGACGTCTGTGCCAGAGGCCTCTGTCCCCGGGTGGGCCCCTGGTATGGACAGTGCTGGGAAGGGTCCACCATGTGTACCTGCCTGACCAAGCCCCTGCCCACCTTAGAGAACCGCCGGGTCTTGCTTCTGATGCGCGTCTCCACAACCGCCCGCCAGTCTGCATGCACCACGCCACTGAGTTGGGAGGCAGCTAGGGCTGGCTCGCCCTGGCCACCGGGACTAGGGGGGCTCCGCTGGAGAGCTGTACTGCCACGCCCGGGTCGGGACAGCTCCTGGGCAGCGAGAGTCAGGACCTGGGGGAGGGAGAGATCAGGTGGCCCCGCTGCCTGGGGAAAGATGGCGCCTCCTGAACTCCAGGTTCACAGTCAAGTCCCCAGAGGCCAAGACTGGACATGGAGAGGCAGACCCTACCCAACTAGTGCACAGTGGTCTGCATGTGGTAGAACGGAGACTCCAGGCATCTCAGAGCCACCTGGCTGTATGGGCGCTCCTAGAGGAGGGCCTCCACTGCCTGTTGACTCGAGCTCCCTGGTCCTGCTGCCGCCCGAGCTGCACCCACTCCCCCAGGAACTCAGCCGCACAATAAAGAGGAACATCCTGGCGTATGCCACGCAGGAATGGACGTTGACAATACTGTGCTCAGGGAAGGCAGCTAGACTCAGACCACGCACTGTACATCCCACACATGGGAAACCTCCAGGGCAGAGATGGTCAGTGGGTGCCAGGGGCTGGGGAGGGGTGGGGAATGAGTGCTCACGAGTATGGGGTTTCCACTTAAAGCAATGAAAATGTTTTGGAATTACAGTGATGATCGTACGATCTCGTGAAAATACCAAAAAACCACTGAATTTTATACTTTAAATGGATCCATTTCATGGTGTGTGAATTATATCTGAATAAAACTGTTATTACTTGGCTGCTAAACAGGAAGTTGGAAATTCAAATCTACCCAGAGATGCCTCAGAAAAAAGAGCTGGTGATTTACTTTCAAAAAATCAGCCACTGAAAACCCTGTGGAGCACAGTTCTGCTCTGACACACATGGGGTCGCCGTGAGTCAAACTCACGGGAGACTACGGGCCAGCTGCTGGCTAAGCATCCACAGACCGAGCCCAGAAAACGCCAGAAGCCTGCAGTGTCAGTCTGTTCCCACCTCTCAGGTGCCACCTCAAGGGGGCTCTCAAGCTCTCCGTCGCCATCTCCGGCCTGCAGTGGCCGGGCCCCCCACCGGGCCACATCCTGACCCCGGAGACGGCACAAACACTCACGTCCAGGATGTCCATGCGCTGCCGCAGGCTGTAGTTGACGGCGTAGAACTGTGTGGTCAGGTACTCCGCCACCTGTGCCAGCACACGAGAACCCTGTAGGCCCCGAGCATCAGCCCCAGACCCACACCTGTACCTGGGACGACTGCAGCCCCCGCCGGCCCAGAGCACACGGCGACTCACCCGGGCCGGGTCCGTGACAGTGACAGCGACCAGGGATCGGCGGCGCAGCGCTTCGAAGCCCGCCACGCAGATCTTCTCCTCCAAGTGCAACAGCACCTGGGCCAGCCCCACGCTCACCTGTACACAGCTGCTGCGCTCAGGAGCCACCTGGAGCCCAGAGCCCCCACCTGCGACGCTCCCCGGGACAGGCTCCTGGCTGCCGCCCAGGAGCCGCGCACACTGCACCTGAGCTGACCTCGGGTCCCATTGGCCCACGTCTCTCCCACAGCCCCCGCTGCCTTCCATGCCCAGGACACGTGGGGACCTCAGGGAGTACAGCCCCCATGCCCCTCCAGCCTCGCCTGCCACCCACTCACCTCCCGGGTAGCTGCGGGGCTGCGGTAAACCAGGTCCTCCAGTGCCCGCAGGGCTGCCTCCCAGCGCTCCCAGTCCTCCGACGTCATCAGGGCTGCACAGAACCAGACCTACCGTGGACCTCAGCCCGATCCGGGGCAGGAGCCAGACGCCACGGCCCCAAGAACACGAGCAGGAATGGGAACTGACCCCGCCCAGGACACAGACACTTCCTATGGGACTAGCTCACTTAGAACAAGAGGCTTGAAGTCACCCGAGACAGTGAAAAGGGGCAAGTGCTCCGGGGGCCGGCACAGCCGGCTGTGAGCCCACCTTCGAGGCAGTCCCGGACGTACACGGGTGCCTTACTGCTCCTCAGCTCCCTGTCTCCCGACATGTCGTAAGGAACAAACTCGTCATCACTGCAGAAGAAACAACACATCACCTGCTGGGCAGAATCACGCGGGGCAGAAAGCGCCGGGGAGCCGGGGATGGGGGGCTGTCCTCCCGGGAGGGGCAGGCAGGCAGAGCTGCACCTACCTGTCCCGCTCAGAGTCGGCCCCCTCAGGCTGCACAGGGGGCATGCCAACGTCCCGGCCATCGTCAGCACGGGTCTCTGGGCCGACTGGTGCTGCACGCAAACTTTTTGGAGACAAAAGCACATGGTACCCTTCAGAAACCAACCCTCCACTGCGATTTTGGAGTAAGAGCTTCAAGCCTTCAGGAAAGGCCCTTCCTGCATTCTGCCTTAAGCCCCACAGCCTCTTCGCCTCTGTAATGACTACCATAGCAAATGCAGGCTGACCCACGGGGACATGAGTGTGTGCACGAGCCAGCGCCAGCACAGGAAAGCACCCCCCGGCACAGGAGACCCTACCCCCCAACACAGGAGAACCCCCCAACACAGGAGACCCTCCCCCAGGCACAGAAGGCACTCCCCCGGGCACAGGAGACACTTACCCCAAATTGGAGGGGCCACTGTCTGCAGGCCGGGGAGCCACCAAGGCCAGGATCTCGCGGGTCAGCTCGTCTTCCTCATACTGGGCGTGCAAAGAAGGCACCATCAGAGATGCCCACGGCAATGGACCGAGCAGCAGAGCCACCCCAGCCACACCCATTCCACGGATACGCTCAGTGACCTGAGGTGGCCTCCTAACACTCGCCACCCAGGCGCCACGTCCTAGTTTCCACCACGGGCAGAGGCTGCAGCCCTGGAGGAGCTGAGAACCCAGGGACCAGGCCGACGGTGAGGCCACCCGCAGACCACATGGGGCCAGCATGGAGGGGAGGCCACGTCCTGGCGACGGTGAACCCGGGCCTGGTAGAGCACGACACGAGGGCGGGCAGGCCACGCCACATCGGTGCCACACAGCGGGCAGCGGAGAAGCAGACCCGCTGACTCCTGCGAGCGCGCAGGAGCCCACAGAGACACCCCAGGTGACAGCGCCCCGCACTGAGCCTCGTGTGGTTCCTCTACACGTGTCCAGGGGTCCACTCGACAGGGGTCCCAGCCCAGGAGCTCAGGCCTCACCCCAGCAGCCCCCCAACCAAGCTGCTGGGTGCCATGAGCCTGCCATTCCCAAGCCCCAGCTCTGCTTCCTTGGCGGCAACCCCGATACCAACATACAGGTGCACTGCAGGCCTGAGGGCGGGCAGGCCCTGTGAGGAGGACGCGGATGCAGCAGCTGTACCTGGAACTTGAGGGGCGGGCCCTCTGGGTGCAGGCGGGCACTGAGGGCCTCGGCCACCACCATGCCCAAGCGACGGACAGGTGGCAGGCTGCTGTCCAGGTGGTTCTGCACACCCGCCATCATGCTGGCCAGCAGCTCTGGAAGCAGCAAGACGACCCTGAGCCCCTGCGCGTCCCCGGGCATCCCCGCGGCCCTGAGCCCCAGCACATCCCTCAGCTCCCACACATCCCCGGGCTTCCCCGCGGCCCTGAGCCCCAGCACATCCCTCAGCTCCCACACATCCCCGGGCTTCCCCGCGGCCCTGAGCCCCAGCACATCCCTCAGCTCCCACACATCCCCGGGCTTCCCCGCGGCCCTGAGCCCCAGCACATCCCTCAGCTCCCACACATCCCCGGGCGTCCCCGCGGCCCTGAGCCCCAGCACATCCCTCAGCTCCCACACATCCCTGGGCGTCCCCGTGGCACAACCCAAGCCCCAGTACATCCCGGGGCATCCCTGTAGCACGGCTGAGCCCCAGCGCGTCCCAGGGCAAGCCATCCACGTGCCGCCCCGCCGCTCACCTTCCCGGATGTCCTGGAGCTCCGCCTCCCCCAGGTACGCCAGGCAAACGAGAATGGCCTTCCCGACATGGTGCTGCTGTGGCACCGGCGTGTGTTTCATGGCGCTGCTGCTGCCCCATGTCTCCAGGAGCTCCTTCAGCGCCTGGCGGGCACGGCACCCGTTCTGTCAGGCAGCACTGTCCGCTCCTCCCCTTCCCACCACCAGAAAGGGGCTTCTACTGACAGAGCCACCCTGCCCAACCCTGATGGTGGCACCCAAGGGGACAAAGGGGTGGAGCAGTTACCTGCACGAGGAGAGGCCGCCGCTGGCTATCTGCAGCCAGGTACCCGAGGAGGCTCTGCAGCATGGGCGTCTGTAACAGAAGCCGGCTCCCACATGACGCGCACACCTCGGCCCGAGTGACCCCCAGCGAGAGGCATCTGGGCTGACCAGTGTGGACAAGCGTGTGCCCCTGGGAAGGGGGTTCTCCACCCACCCCAACCAGCACCCGCGGGCTGAGGCTTCCCAGAGGCACACTACATCCACACTATCAGTCCAGGCACTTTTTCTTAAAAAATTTCCTCAAGTTCTTACAGGCCTCCTCCCGTTCCCACGGGCCTCCTGGCGTTCCCACGGGCCTCCTGGCGTTCTCAAGGGCCTCCTGGCGTTCTCACGGGCCTCCTCGCGTTCCCACGGGCCTCTTCCCGTTCCCACGGGCCTCCTGGCGTTCCCACGGGCCTCCTCCCGTTCCCACGGGCCTCCTGGTGTTCCCACGGGCCTCCTCGCGTTCCCATGGGCCTCCTCCGTTCCCCCGGGCCTCCTGGCATTTCCACGGGTCTCCTGGCGTTCCCACGGGCCTCCTCCGTTCTCACGGGCCTCCTCCCGTTCCCACGGGCCTCCTCGCGTTCTCATGGGCCTCCTCGCGTTCTCAAGGGTCTCCTGGCGTTCTCACAGATCTCCTCCGGTTCCCACGGGCCTCCTCGCGTTAGCAAGGGCCTCCTGGCGTTCTCACAGATCTCCTCCGTTCTCACGGGCCTCCTCGCATTCTCACGGGCCTCCTCCCGTTCCCACGGGCCTCCTCGCGTTCCCACGGGCCTCCTGGCGTTCTCACGGGCCTCCTCCCGTTCCCCCGGGTTTCCTGGCGTTCTCACGGGCCTTCCCCTGTTCCCACGGGCCTCCTGGCGTTCTCAAGGGCCTCCTGGAGTTCTCAAGGGCCTCCTCCATTCTCACAGGCCTCCTCCGTTCTCACGGACCTCCTCTGTTCTCACGGGCCTCCGCGCGTTCTCACAGACCTCCTGGCATTCTCACGGGCCTCCTCCCGTTCCCCCGGGCCTCCTGGCGTTCTCACGGGCCTCCTCCTGTTCCCACGGGCCTCCTGGAGTTCTCACAGACCTCCTCTGTTCTCACAGACATTCTCTGTTCTCACAGATCTTCTCTGTTCTCACGGGCCTCATCTGTTCTCACAGGCCTCCTCTGTTCTCACGGCCCTCCTCACGTTCTCTCAGGCCTCCTAACATTCTAAGACCTCTGCTGCGGAAAGCGTGCCTACTCGTGTGGATCACCCGCCCCCACCGCAGGCCCCCATCTGGGTTCTCACCGTGCACCGATGCTGTAAGAACAGAAGCTTTCGGGTCATCACAAAGCGGGTCTTCTTATTCTTTATTACTAGGTTCCCCAATAACCGCGACAGGACTTCTGGCCTGAAAAGGCATCCGGAAGAAACACCGTCACATGCTCACCTGCCCTGGCAGACGCGCAAGCGCTGGACCCCAGGCCGGCCAGATCCCGGGCGCTGCTTTGTCTCAGCTGTGGTGAGCTCTCGACTCGGGGTGTGCGCTAGGAAGCAGCTTTTTGTCATAGCATGCTTCTCTGTATAATGTGCATTATTGTTTTTAAGTCTGTGCTACCTTCATAAGAAGCGCGGCCCTCTGACTGTGGAATGTCACCACTTCGGCAGAGAAAGCAGGCATGGCTTAGGTCCAGCTCGGTGGCGATGGGTGGGCACGGGGAACACGAGGACCCATGGCTGCCCCAGGACCAGGCTAGGCGGTCACCATCAGGACGCACCTGTGCCTGACCAACTGGCCACCTGACACAGTACCTCTGAGAAAGAGCCAGACGCCACTGGACCAGGTAAGGGGCCACCACCCCACACTGTGTGGGCATTGACACGGGCCACAGGCCACAGTAGGTACCCAAGTACAACGCAGCCTCACTGAACACAAAGCATACTCACAAACACAGGGAGGCCACATGGGACACTCAGAACCCGTCCCACCCCGGAAGAGGCCAGGCACGCTCCTTACCCTGGGGCGGCTTCCACGAGCCCCATCAGCACGGCCTCCATGGCCCGGTCAGGCACACGCTCTGCCAGGTGCCAGCACACCCGCTGCCAGAGCGCGTCGTCCCGCGTGAGCGCGGCCAGGCGGGGCACCAGCACACCTAGGAACTCCTCTGCGGGATGCGGGGCCTGAGTCAAGGCTGGGGGGTGGGGCATCACAGGGTGGCAGCACCCCACCTTCGGCCCAGGGAAGGGAGACCCCCCGAGGTCAAGCAAGGTCAGCAGCCTCGCCTCCTACTTGCTGGGTCCCACAGGGACGTCTGAGAAGACGGGCAGGGGGAGGGTGGTCGAGTAGGCAGCGGCTCAGGACGGGAAACACTCACTCTGCCTCCCGTGGACGCAGACCTTCCCGAGCACCTGAGACGCGAAGGCGACAGAGCAGTCCACACCGCCTGAGACAAAGGGAGCCGGCAGTGAGGACGTGAAGGACAGCCGACTACATGGAGGGAGGGGCGCAGGTCTGGGGTCGGGAGAGCCTTATTGCAAAGGGCTGACTCATTAAAGTTAATTCTCAAACTCAGGTCATCGAACTGCAGCCCAAACCCAAGAAGGCCGACAGCGGTAACAACGTACTCGCCTTATTCCAACAGCATCACCAAACAGCACACCACGACGTAAAAGGGTCACAGTGTGTTCCCATCTTTGCAGTCAAGAACCGAACCATGAGTGGAGTTGCAGAGTATGGGTCGCAGCCCTTCAAAATGGGGGCCGTCTGACCGGCCCAACAGCACCCCCTCAGGTGCCGCGGAATCGACCCTGAGTCATGGAGACCCACGGGCGTCAGAGTAGAAGTGTCCCCAGTAGGGTTTGCAATGTTGATTTTTCTGAAGTAGGTCACCAGGCCTTTCGTCTGAGACACCGAATCAAACCTCCAATCTTTTGATTAGCAGTCAAGTATGTTAGCTGTCTGCTCCACTGTGGGACTCCACAGCACAGCGCAGAGACCCTCAAGCCCCAGAGGCCTCAAGAGAGCTGGGCAGGAGAGGGAGGGTCGCCGCACAAGGGGACAGGCAGGAGGCACTCACCTCGCAGAGCATCCGCCACCACGTGCAGCGCACGGACGAGCTCCTCACCAAGCAGGGGGAAGTACCCCTGGGGGAGGAACAGGGCCAGGTTCTCACGCTGCAGGCGGTTGCTCAGGTGATCAGGCAGACACACCACCTTGCTGAGCAGCGTCTCCCGGAGCAGGGGGGAGCCGGGCTGCGCCCGCTGCCGACACTGCTCCCCCATCAGCACGGCCACCCTGCCCGCGTGCAGGAACTGCTCCAGCAGCCTCGCCAGCTTCATCAGACGGTAGCTGGGGCTGAACAGAGAGCAGACGCGTCACAGGACGGAGGCCCAACCCCCGTCCTCAGCACCTCGACTGAAAGCAACGCTGACAGGCCCGCTCCAGACAGGAAGTCCAGGGACTTAGTGAGCACTCAGGTCCTCACACGTGCCCTGAGAAAAGGCAGCATCCTAACTGTACTCTGAAAACACGAGCACTAACGGGAGGGCGCGGCACGGTGCCCCCACCCTGGGGATCGGAGCAGACACCGCTGCCCTCGCTCCCTGCTCCGCGGTGGCCACAGAAGGTACTGCTGGAACCAACTTCACTATCTCAGCACCCCTCCTTCTCCTGCAGGACACGGCAGGGACACCTGGCTCCAAGGGCACAAGGCGGGCAGTGAGAGAGCAGGCGACCTTCCTGATGCGGCAAATCCGATCCACTGCCAAGAAAACCAACACAGCCTGTGCCGTTCCCAAGTCCTCAGTCATCCTCAGCACCTACTGGGATGCTGGATTCTCACAGAACCTAGGCAACCGATCAGCTCGCTATTCCTCTGCCATTCTCCTGCTGAGGTCACACACACCCCCGCCCCACCACGTCCCGCCGCCCTGCTCACCCGGCAGTGCCCTCGATGGCCTCCATCAGCACCAGGAAGGCCTGGTCGGCCGGGCCCTGCAGGAAGAAGCTGGCCCACAGCTCCTCCAGCTGGCCAGCGGGTAACAGCTGCAGCCAGTCGGGGCTCAGCTTGCTGACCAGGCATCTGAGGAGCGGGGAGAAGTGGAGCCTGGCAAACTCCTCTCTCTCTCCAGGGAGGGCCTCTGCTTCACCGAGGTAGCGCTTCAGGGACACCAGGGTGGAGAAGATGCAGCCGCCATCCTCAGAGGATGAAAGGGTGTGGATGGCATCTCGAACAGCAAGACGGACCGAAGAGGGCGCTGGATCCATCCTGCAGTCAAGCCTGGGGCGTCACAGGAAAGAGCATGTGAGAAGCTGAGAAGGCTCAACATCAACTTGGGGTTCAGCCCCGGGGATAGAGACATATTTTCTCACACAGTCTCAGAAATCTCTCACTCTGGCCCTTCCTGTGAAGCTCCCTGGGGGCCACACTCCACCTGACCCTCGCTCTCACCAACAGCCCCCTCAGCCTGCCCTGAGGGCCACACTCCACCTGACCCTCGCTCTCACCAACAGCCCCCTCAGCCTGCCCTCAGGGCCCCACTCCACCTGACCCTC